AGGACAAGCATGGAAAACTCACCACTCTTATGCCAATACGGTTGCAATGATGCATTTAGTTAGCGAAATGGAATTGCATGAACATTCACATGGTGGTTATGTAATACAGCGAATCGATAATAAAAAATCTGCGTCGACAAATTTACATAATTGATGTCATCGATTATTTCAACTAATCGGTGCAGCCCTAGCTTCAAGCCAAAACCAGAGTAAAAATAATTAAAATGTGAAGCTGGAAGAGGAAAACAGTGTTTTTTAATCACTGATGATAAATAAAGTTTTGAATTGACAAAAAACAGAGGGTATTTTACAAAGGCCAAACACAGAAAGACCCCATGTCCGAACTGGGTTTTGAACCCAGGACCTTGCTGTGAGCCGTCAGTGCTGCACAAATCACACAAAAAGGGTTTCTGTTAAATAAACAGCAAAGAACTGATGGTGCACAGGAAGACATACTGTATTTATGTGTGTACAGTGGGTTTCCAGTATTATTCAATCCCCATTCTTCAAAATTAAAAAACTGAATCCTTATAATGCTACTCCTAATTTCACACAGACTTCAGGATTTTTCAGCCCTTCTTGTGTGTCCTCTGGTAAGGAAACAGATTATTTTGGGGACACACTAAAGGCTGCAGAGGAGCAGCACAAGCTTCATGTCACTGAGAACCGGTCCGGTCCGACAGCAGGAGCCAGTTGTTCAGTTAACAAGAGTCATACTGAGCACGCAAACATGCTGACGTCCATGTATTTTCATCTCTGCGTCGTGGTTAACAAACACACTATCTGGTGTAAAAATATCTACTGTTGTTGCTTATGAGCTTCGATATGCACGACGTGTTCTAGAGCAGGAGCAAATTTATGATGATTTATCCCACGAGAGACAACATTTCAGTTATATATGAGAAAATATTAAACTTTATTGTGGCAGTACATTAGCAGTCTGCTAAGATATCCTCTCAAGTATAGCATTTTTATACACAAATAAGTGTCGTGTATGCAGGTCTCTTAGCAGAAAACGGGGTCAGTTATTTTTTTATGGTAGGTATAAACCAGGGTTTTCATAATATAAATTTGGAACAACCGTCTTATTTGAATAAACAAATTATTTGACGGTACTGAAATATTCAATAACTGCAGCCCTTAATTAAACAATGAGCAGAAAGGTGGTCCACGCAGACCAATGAGGACAAAAATCACACAAAATGAAGTGAAGCGAAGTGAAGTTTTAGAAACACTCCTAAATGCTTCTTCAGTGAATTCTATACGGTGTTCACAAATTTGCAAAATGAAATAAATTAATTTAAAAAGAAAACAGATGCAATGTTGTAGCGCTGGGTGTAAAAGGATGAAAG